GGCGGGGCTTCTATCGGGGTGCTTGACCTATTCTTCCCCTCTTTCCAGGTCACAATGCCGTCGAAAGCCCTCCGGAGACCGAAGCGGATACAGCACACCTGGCGGACATTAGCAACACCTTTAGTTCGCAACACGTCCGCAAGATCCCCTCGCCACAGACGCTGGTCACGGCTCTGCTGACAGACAGCCTACGCGCGATGGCGCCCGCCGACTTGAGAGACGACGGTCGGCAGCTCTGGAGGCCGAATCTCCCCGATGTGGTGACGGAGAGCGTGGAGGGAGACGGCAGAAACGATGCGACAGTCTCGTCCGTCGAATCCGACGCGTCGGTCGCGCTCGGAAAGCGAGGGGACACGTCCCCGACACCGGCGCAGGAGGACACGGGACCATATGTCTTCCGGGTGATTAGAGACGAAGACATCACCGAGTTAGGCGTGGGCGGCCAGAGAGTAGGCCACGAGGAGCCGTCTCTACACGAGGCGACGGTGGCGCCATCAGAATCCGTGAAGCTGCTTCCTGCCCCGCTGCAGTATTCGGACATCAGTCCCGAGACGCCGGTCCCCGTGTTCATCCCCGAGCCGGAAATCGACTCTGACGGGGTCGACTCTCCGCGGAAACCGGCGACGACAACGACTGCGGACGACCGTGGAGGCGTTGTTCGGTCTCAGCCAGCGTCGGACAAGCCGCCGCCGTCGGCGCAGCGTGCCCACCCGACGCCAGCGGACTCTCCCGCCCAGTCGAGTCCGGACGAGTCGCTGGACTCGGACTCCTCCCCTGCCGCGGACGGTGCGGTGACGAGCGTGGGCGCCGACATCGAGCTGAGCGCGTCGCCGGTCGGTGAGCCAGGGTCCCCCGAGCGGTTCTGGAGCGTGACGCCCGGCACCCAGCCCTACGCCGGACCGCCGCCGCGCTCAGTTCTCGGCGACTGGTGGACGGACAGGACGCTGGAGCGGGGCCGAGGGGAGGGCAGCCCGCCCGGCGACTCCCTCGACCCGGACCGGGGCTCCCAGCAGTCCTCGGAGCGTTCGTTAAGCTCCAGCCCCGAGCGACACTCCCCGCCGGCGTGGATCCCCGCTGCTGGCTCTCCGCCAGGGAGGATCCCCGCTCCCGACTCGCCGCCGCGCCTCGCCGAGGCCACGCGGCCCGGCTCGGACCGACAGGCTACCACCGACGCGGGGCTGCCGCTACCGGCTGCGCCAACAAGCGGCGCGTCGCGCCCCGCCGTCGGCGAGGTGTCGCCGACGGCGTCCGACGACAGCTACTCGCTGGACGACATCGAGGACGCGCTGCGGACCGATGCGGCGCCGACCGCCTTCCCCAGCGAGCCGCCGCCGCCGACGTGGGTCGACCACCACCATTCGCCTCCGGTGGAGCGCTCGCTCCGCCCGAAGGACGTTCCTCCCAGCCAGGACGACGACCTGCGCGGTCGCGAGGACGAGCTGGCCGGCTTCGTCGAGCTGCAGGCGGACCGGACGGAGCGGCTGCGGCGCCGGTACGCCGCCGCTGACGACGGCGGTTTCTCCCGGCGCCCGGCCGTGCGCGGCGTGGTTGTGCCGCCGGCCGCCGAGCGGCGCCACCAGCGGCCGCTGGCCGGTCGGGCCGATCAGGAGCGGGCGGTGGAGCAGCCAAAGTGGCAACAGGCAGGGCAACGGTACCCGAAACCGTCACCGGAAGCGCATGCGCAGCATAACCCTCGGTTTGCATCGCATCCGCAGCATCCGATGCCTGCGCAGCAGCAGCAGTCAGGCCAGACGTATCAGCAGCAGTCAGTACAGCTGTATCAGCAACAGTCAAAGCAAATGCATCCCCAGCAGCCGGGCCAGGTGTATCAGCAACAATCGACGGAGATGTATCAGCAACAACTGACACAGATGTATCAGCAGCAGCCAACACAGATGTATCAGCAGCAGTCAACGCAGATGCATCCGAAACAGTTGATGCAGATGCATCAGCAACAGTTAGGGCAAATGCATCCGGAGCAGTCAGGACGGATATATCAGCAACAGTCCGGGCAGACGTATCAACAGCCGCCATCGCCCCCGCGCCTGCCGCAGTTTGTGCAGGTGCGCTCCCCTCAGTCAGTGCAGCGTCACGCCCAGCCGTCGGCGCAGACCCAGCACGAGCGGGTGGAGCCGAGGTCTCCGCAGCAGCACTGGCCGATCGGGTACCCGGAGACGACGGCCTACATCCGCCAGAAGCAGCTGACGCAGGCCGACGTGCAGCAGCTGCGCGCCCGGGCGCAGCGGGCCGCTGCCGGCCAGCTGCCGCACCTCCCGCCAGCTCACCGGCAGCTGCCGCACGACACAGCGCAGCAACGGCTGTGCCAGCCAGCCCAGGAGACAGTGTATCAGCCAACACAGCAGCGGCCGTACCAGCCTGCGCACCACGCTCTGGTCCAGCAGCAGCCGTACCAGTCAGCCCAGAAGGAGCAGCCGGGCGCGGCTGCGCGGCCACTGCCGCTGGCGCAGACGCGACAGCAGCAGCTGGCGCAGATCCGGCGGCTGCAGTCGGCACACCTGGTGCGCGTGCCGGGGGTCACGCTCGGCTTCCCGGACGAGCACAGCCAGCGCCACCTGCCGGCGCGCTGGCACGTGCCCGAGTGGCTGCCAGAGGAAGCGGGCGCGCCGGCGGGTCGTGGCCGGGAGCCGGCGCCCGGCGGTGGCATGATGCGCCGTCGGAGCGCCTCCCAGCAGCGGCTGGAGGCGGTCGGCCGGCCGGCCTCGCTGGCGCTGCCGCCGCCGCGGCCTCGCGCGTCGGAGTGGCCGCCGCAGGATTGGGGCGAGTCCGGCGCGCCGCCGCTGCCGGCCGGGGGCACCCTGCCCCGGCGGCACACGCCACCGTCCGGCACCGGCTCGCTGCCCCGGCAGCGGTCGCGGCTGGATAGCGCGCCGCCGTCGTCCGGCGCGCCGCCGTGGTGGTACGATCAGGCCGAGGAGGCGCCACCGGCGCTGCAGCGGGCCGGCACGCTCCCGCGCCACTACCGTTCCTCGGAGGGCCTCCCCCAGCAGAGGCCGGATGGCCGCGCGCCAGCCGACTGGCAGCAGTCGCGGGCGAGTCCACCCAGGCAGCCGCCGGAGTCGGCCCCGCTGCCACGGCGGCACGAGCAGTCTGCGCCGCAGCAGACCCCCTCTGTGCCGCCACCAGGGCGCCAGCAGGACGGCTGGGTCGATGGCGGCGGACCGTCGGCCGGCCCGCCGACCATCTCGCCCCAACAGTATCCGCTGGCCGGACTTTCAGGTGGCGACGCCGCCAACCATTCCAAGATGGTGTCGTATGCCAGCAGGCGTGACCTGCTGCAGCATGTTCATGATGTCTGAATGCGCGTCGGATTTGAGTTTTAGGCAGGGATAAGTTCCTGATATAATTTTATTGCAGATGCGGCTAGTCTGGTGAGCCTTGGATCATGGTGGTATAACGCTTGTCAAGCGATGTGTTTTGACGTAGTCATGAGTTGCGGACTGGGGTGATGATGCCGGTTTTTTAGGCTTGACCCAACCATGATCAATTATTCATCGATGTCAACTTCGTGTTACTCGTGCGATCCTGCTGGGGATGGCGGTGAACACAGCAGCCTTCTGTGGCACGAATGGGTGTTTGCTAATCGCACGTATCGATAATGTTTGTGCATGGCTTATGCAGCACGAGCATCTGGCGCACGCGTGAAACACTATTTGATGAGTTGCGCCACTTCAATAAACGAGGCACCCACCAAAGAGCATTGACGATATGTCTATATTTATAGTCGAGCTCGAAAGGACTTTGTGCCTGTGTAGTTAGCCTTTAGTTAGGATTAGAGGACCGCTGTTTCAGCTAGTCATGATTTGCCTTGGATGAATTACGGAGCAGTCTCCCTCAAAGAACTGTGTGACCCGTCATTGCTGATTGTATGTTGATTTTACATAGTCAAGTTTCCGAGTGACATTAAGATGGAACATACCATTTGAGATGGGATAGCCCCCTGTGAAAAATGTAATTACACTTTCAAACAACTTCAGCGTTTTTGATCCGTCCGGTTCTATTTGCCTCGGCGTGCTGGTGACTGCAGAATCTACCGCATTCTGCGATGCAAGCAAATCTAAAAATGCAGAGCCAATTCCTCGCACAAGCATGCAGCCGGCGGCCGAGTAAGACGGAGAGCGTCTTCACGTCATCCCACATGCCGGTGCCCTCGCCGGCCCCACCTCCAGAGCGATGCGACGTGACGCCGTCTCCATCGCGCCGCCAGAGCTCGCGCAGGACCTACGCAAGCTAGCTTCTGACCTACATTGGCGACTGCTGTGGAGAGGGTACTGCGCCGATGCGCCGGAGACGCCCGGCGCCGTCAGGAGGTGGCCCAGCCACTACCGACCTAGCCGGCTGGTGCCAGCTCCTCCAAAATGGGGCAGGCGGGGGATAATCCACCGGGCGTTTATGCTGCCTCACATTTTCAGACATCCGGATCGGCCAGAGGCACGGTGGTCGCAGACATCCGGATCGTCCAGAGCACGACATTTACACTAGTGGTCTCGGGACATCCGGGTCGGCCAGAGCACGGCAGTTACACCGGTGGTCGGAGGCGCCACATCCGGACCGGCCAGAGCACGGCATTACACCGGTGGCCGCAGACATCCGGACCGGCCAGAGCACGGCATTACACCGGTGGTCGGAGGCGCCACATCCGGGTCGGCCAGAGCACGGCATTACACCGGTGGCCGCAGACATCCGGACCGGCCAGAGCACGGCATTACACCGGTGGTCGGAGGCGCCACATCCGGGTCGGCCAGAGCACGGCATTACACCGGTAGCCGCAGACATCCGGACCGGCCAGAGCACGGCAGTTACACCGGTGGTCGGATGCGCCACATTCGGACCCGGATTCACCAGCCCGGCATGAGTCAGACTGTTTCAGACGTCCTCCGAGCCGCAGTAACGCCGTCGTGTTTCCCCGAAACCCACCGGACAAAGATTCGAAGACTCGAGATACAAAAATCGAGCGAGGACTCCAGTCGAGAAACACAAAAGAGTGGACAAGAGCCATTGTATATGCCTGAAAAAATGTACACGCGAAAGCAACATGTGGCAAAGACATTCGACATCTAGCAACCATCAACGCGGCAGACACCGCTGAATGGAATGTCAATTACAAGCACGCATTCGCGATAGAGAACAAGACTCAGAGAACACACAGGATGTCCCAGGGTTATTTTGTACGGATAAACCTTCAGGGTAGCAATAATGCACACTTGCGCTCAAAAATGGACACAAGATGCGGTCTACTTTCACGCATGCTGCAGACATTAGGAGCTATATATACCAACACTAAACCGACGAAAAACCGGAAATTATAGCAGAACCAAGAAAATATACAATAGATGCAACGCAGCCTCGTTCACACAACGAAAATGAAAATCATGTTCTGTGACCAAGCGAACGTTCACTGCAACGAAATAAGGCACTTGTTTCAGCGAACGAGACGGCGTCGTATCCGATGACCTACCAAAAATACAACGACGATTACCTAATCACAGCAGCGGCGTCAACATGTCCCGAACACGGGGAGGGCAAACCCCACGCACACACACATGATACGTCCTCCACTCCAGACATGTACACCTTACCAATTCTCTGGCATCCAGCCAACGCCACATCGACGGCGGCAAATAGTTCCTTTTGCAGTCCCACTGAAGTGTGGCACCGCCACCGCCACTAGAACGCCCGCACGCACGGCCATCTGGTGACAACGGCGCGAACCTCTCGTGAGGTACGCGGCCGCTGGGCAGCGTCGACTGAGCCAGCTGGCAGCAAGTCCGTGGCGGAGGCCTTCGACGCATTAAATCCTCGCTAGGGGGCGGGGCGAGCGCGTCACTCGACCGTGACAGACTTGGCCAGGTTGCGGGGGCAATCGACGTTGCATCCACGCATTACAGCCACGTGGTACGACAGCAGCTGCAGTGGGATGACCGTAAGGATTCCCTGCGGGCACGGTCAATGGCGGGTCAACATGAGGCCTTATCACAGTTTCACCACAAACACAGACACTTCCTAGGAATAGAGTCACAAAACACAATTCCACTCTGTCAGCTTTCTCTACCACGAAATCACACTCAGCACCTCATCCGGTTCGCTGCGCCCACCTGAAGGCAGTCGACGGTGGGCGGGATCTCCAGCAGCTCGTTGGCGAATCGGGCCGGCTCGGGGTCACCGTTGTTGCAGATGATAATGGGCCGCCCCTCACGGGCAGTCACCTGCTGCAGCGCGTTCATGCATTTCTGCAACACGAGCAACGGGTAAGCGTGACGTGACAGCAGCGAACGACCGGGCGGGGCCGTCCGGCCTGGACTCCGTCGCCGGTCCCCATCTCAGAGGAGCGCGACACCTCGGCCCCTCCGGTTTCCCCGGCCGTCGCCTCAGCCGGCGTGGGAGGCCACCGACCGAACGGCGTCCGCTGCTGTGAGGATTTGAGCCCAGCGTCAGAATAGACTGCGGCTGTTTCAACACGCAAGCGTCGCTTACAACAGCGGTGAAAGCTTGCGGTAGACGACCGCTGCACGCCCCGTGCCCGGGAGCACTCCCCGCGTCCCGCGAGCGAGCTTACGGTAGACGACCGCTGCACGCCCCGTGCCCGGGAGCGCTGCGAGCGAGCACGCGTCCTGCGAGCGCTGCCGGGCGGACACCAGGCAGCAGACACTCACCACGAAGGTGGGATCCCGGGTGCAGATGAGGATGATCGGCATGCCGGGGTCGACCAACGCCAGCGGACCGTGCTTCAGCTCACCAGCCAGGATCCCCTCAGAGTGCATGTACGTGATCTCCTTCACTTTCTGGCGGCGACGGCGGCGGTGGCTCAGAGGGCCGGCCACGAGACAGGAGTGGGGACACATGACACATCTGAATGGCAAGGTAAGTGACCAAACATGATCGAAGACCGCGCACAGCAGCCCGCGCCCGCGTGCCATCATAACACTTCAGCTCCAAATAAGCAAGCCCTCGCTCGTTTCCCGAGCTATGAATCTACATCACACGACGGCACCACAGCCTTCACCTAGTCTCCGAAGATTTAATGTTGGCCAAGAACCCGAGCAAAAGCACCAAGTCCCTTGTAACAGGTCAGATCTCCTCTACGACGACCCCAACCCAGTGGCGCCACACCGCGTCTCCTTCGCCAACTAACCAGCGCGCCCTCAAGGCAGGTGGCATAGTTGTATCCGCGACCCATCACCAGCATAGACTTGTTCTGGTACAGGCCCTTGGCGATCTCCTCGATCCGGCTATCCAGCTTCAGAACCTCCTTGATCAGCTCGGGCAGCTGCTTCAAGCCCCGAATAATCTGATGGGAGGCACCGGGCTCAAAACACAGGCAGGATGACAGGCACTACACGCCGAGCAAAACTCACACCAAAGTGGCAAACGAGATGACCGTAGAGGACATCAAATGAACAGACAGAAAAACAGCCATCCAGCTGCGCATCCGACAAAGACACTCCCAACAGCACAAACACCATGCCCGTGCTCGCAAAGTTGGCTCGCCCCGCCTGATCCACCATCCGCCACCGCGCCGCACCGCCACCAGCCACCTCTCCGACCGCGTCGCGCAGCCACGCCCCCCCCCCCCCCCCCCCAACGGGCGCCGCCCCACCTCTCCGACCGCACCGCGCGGCCACCCCCTCCCGCCAGGCACCGCACCACCTCCCACCGCACTGCGAGGCCACCCCTCGCACCGGGTGCCGCACCTCGGCCCGCCCCGGAGCTCACCTCGGTGCGCCGGGGCCGCATCGACAGCCGGTCCTCGGACACAACCAGCGCGAACATGACGAGCGAGATGAACTGCGACGTGTAAGCCTTGGTGGAGGCGACGCCGATCTCAGGGCCGGCGTTGATGTGCACGCCGCAGTGAGACTCGCGGCAGATGGACGAGCCGACTGTGTTGGTGATGCCGACGATCAGCGCGCCGCGCGTCTTGCAGTAGCGCAGCGCCATCAGCGTGTCGGCCGTCTCGCCTGGCGGAGCGCCGGAGCGCCGGTCAGGGCGCGCACCAGAGGTACGCCGATACGAACGGTGTGGCGGGAGGCGCTGCCATGCCGTGCGTAAGGCGTCTCATATGACGGCTGCCCGGTCGAAACACAGGTCAGCCGCACGACAGGCGGAGTGGGCAGATTCACGTGGCGAGCGTGGGCAGACAAGACACGGACTGCCGAGTTCAAAGTCACCAAAACCACCGCAAGCGGGACAAATGTCCCACCCTTTAGCCCTTAACCACATAACGCGCGTTAAGACAAGAGCTGCTCCTATCGTATACACCTCAAAGACGCAGGACCAGCGCAGCTCCCAAAGCAGAGACAATGCCACCAACCCGCCAGACGGAAGCGGCGCCGCTCCACTGACCCGACTGAGAGATGAAGAAGCAGACGTCGTCGCGGAAGATGGGCGTGTTGCGGTCGAGGAAGTCTGAGGCCAGGTCGATCATCACCGGCAGCTCGGTCAGCTCCTCCAGCAGCTGGCGCGTGGCGATGGCGGAGTGGAAGCTGGTGCCGCACGCGATCAGGATCAGCCGCCGGCACCGCTTAATCTCGGGCAGGAACTCCTGGCAGACGACGCGGGCCGGTGTCAGGAGAGGTGCCTCGTGTAGGGAGGGCGAGCGAGCGCTGGGGTGCTCATCAACTCTTTTACTGGAGCGCACACCAACCACATGCATGGTAAGCGCGACCTCAGAATACACGGGAAGCAACCTGATGCTGGAACGAATAGAGACTAACGACAGAACCAACTTACGGGGTGGACACCCCATGCAGCCAGTGTCTGAACCGAAAGAAGAACAGCGGAACAAACGGCCGGGCTGCACGGAAACCGGCGATCGAAACGCCACGAGAACTCGCCTTGATCCCGCCGAGCACGACAGTTTCGGTGTCGAAGTTGATGCGGCCCCTCATCGTGTTGACGACCGACTCGGGCTGCTCGAAGATCTCCTTCTGCATGAACGAGCTGTAGCTTCCTACGGGGCAAGGTAGGTTCATTAGCCGTGATCTCCTTCATCAGCATCTACAGAGTAACGATATGAAAGCCACAGACACAAGGCGGCCGAGAACATACCATTTACGCCCTCAATACACATAATCAACGCAAAACTGCGGCACGCTTCTCATCGCAGTGGAACACGCAGGCAATGTTCCGCATGTATGACCAGTCCCCCAGCCCCACCGCCCAACGGAGGGCATGGTACGCACCCTTCATGATCTCCTGGATCTCCATCATGAGCGTGTGCACCTCACGGGTGCTGCTCTCGTCCATAGAGGCCCGCTTCAGCCGATGGATGGTGAGCATGCCGTCCCTGATCCAGGCCACGTCGTCGTCCTGACGACCGGAGTCACGGCCGGTCAGCCCCGGGCGCGGGGCGCACCACAGACACGACACAGAACGGGTACTGCCCCGGCATTGGCCAGGCAATGGCCGAGCGACTGGCAGCTGAGTGAACGACGACTGCCGACTGATGAGCGAATACGAACGAGCGAAGAGTGGAGAGACATTTCATTTTCCCCACAATGAGATCGGCATTCATGGGAATATACAGGCAAGATTGTACCGCGAGAGCGAGCAAGAGCCGCGAGAAGCGAGCGAGCAAGCGAGAACCGCAGCAGCCACCATCTCCAATGTTCTCCCGCGGTTCTCAGCAGACCATTAGACAGTCAAGTCCAACACGATCACATTTCAGCACAGCCGACGCCGTGGCGCCCGGGATCGCAGCGGTGCCGCCCACCGACCTCGAGGTAGATGACGCGGTTGGTGTGCTCGATGACAGCCGAGGCGTCAGAGGCGAGGAAGAACTCGATCTCCTGCGTGTCGCCAGTCGGCAGGAACTCGGCCGTCGACTCGGAGCGAGGGATGAGCGGCACGTTTCGTGGCGGCTGGCGCACTGCCGGCGGCGCCGCGTCAGTACACGTCACAGTGACGCCAATACAAGTCATGATGTCAGTACGTCAGGGCTCGGCTGCCGCGCGGGACCCCGCGCCCACACCGGGACACTCGCGGCGCGGGGGAGACGCGAAGAGAGGCAAGCGACGACGTGGGGTAGACTGGGGACGGAGACTAGACAAACGCGACATGTAAGCGAAAAAGTGTCGGACGGGCACCGACACAGAGTGGTAACTTTGCAGGACATCGGGAGTCAGACGGCGGAGTCAGCCAAAGAAGCCGATCAACCGAAAATATATGCACCAGTCACAACTAGGTGGCCTGAAGAGCTGGGGAGAAGTTTAACAGCGAAAAATGTTCGCCGCGAAGCGATGCATAATGCCAGTCAGACCACACAAGCGGAGGAGGCGAAGAGACTGATCGAGTCCTGCGCGGCTGGATCGATGCGTCACGACATTGAAAAGGGGTGATCAGGAGGAGCGAGCACAACATCCGACTTGAAAACCGGCCGCGACACCGCTCCTCCAGGAAGAAAGCAAGATGGATGACAGAATTGCCTCGGTGCTGACAAGAAAACAGAGAGGAAGGTACAAAGTGTTCATGAAGCGGGCACATTCCAAGGGGTGAAAATATACTGACAGCAGCACGCCTCGCCTCGCCAACCAGCCTCCCAAGGTGGAGCAGTACCTAGTCATTACTGCAACTACATCCCACATGGAAAACCGTGTAAGGCTACCAGCCACAGCATGATGGATTCCTTCAGCGCAAGCTCCTGCCTAGCGTTATCCCATAAAAGTGCACAAAGTAATTGTGATCATGTGTACTGCACCGAGATGCGAGTGATCTGATCCGTGTGATCGCTGCAGTGATCGTGCACACTCGCGGCCGCATAGCGATGCCAGATGAAGGAAACCACTTACTGTCTGTGGGGCTGATCTTCCGTGCCTTGGTATCGTCGCCTAGAAATGCAAACAAAACATACTACATGCAAGCAGAAACAAACGAGAACAGATGAGTAAAAGCAAAACAGTTAATAATAGGTGCAAATAAAACGGCAGCGTGTATCAGATGACATGCCGACAAAAACGCCATATGTGCAACGAGCAAACACAAACCTAAAACAAACAAGCGCAATAAAAAATCAAATGTACACAGTACACGGAACTAAATTAGTGGGCGCAACGAAAAAAAAAAACAGCGCCGGGACTCCATGGAATACAACGCCAACTACGGTTTCTGCTTACTAATGATGCCAACTACGGTTCAATGATTACGGTTCTAGGGTAGACTTCAATTTGCGCGTGTTTCCGCTCTGTAGGCCCGCAACCCCCCCCCCCCTCCCGTGTGTAGCAGCCCTTGGCCGTGCGCTTGTGATTGTGTGGTTGTGTGGTTGTGTGGTTGTGTGGTTGTGTGGTTGTGTGATTGTGTGGTTGTGTGGTTGTGTGGTTGTGTGGTTGTGTGATTGTGTGGTTGTGGCCCGCGGCCGGCCCGTGCCACCACCGTACCTGGACAGTCGTCTGCAGATTCAGAGAGAGAGAAGATGGAGCATGCGCCACAGCCAGCAGCAGAGACAGGGAGAGACAACAGAGAGGGCTACAGTGAGCGCGAAACACGCGCGGTCGGCCGCCGCACCCGGCCCCCGGAGCCAGACGCTCGCCCGCTCGAGAACAGAAGAAACCACGCCGCGTCTTGGCGCTCAGACCGCCGAGGCGCCTCAACTCAAGAGAAATCACCAAACTGGTAATATCGAGAAAGGCGATAGCTTTGAATGTAGAGGGCAGAGAGTCTGGGTCCGAGGCAAACCGTTCGGTACTGCCGACGTGACAAAAAATGAACAGGAAATACCACACGCAACCTAACATGCGTAATGAAACCGCAAACGCTCTACGACCTACAGGTGCCCGACACAGGGTCTACGAAAGCCTGCAAACACACCGATGCATGCAGAGCCATGTCGTGCGCACCTGAAGCCAGCGCGAACAGGAATCATGCAAAGGTAGGTGGGGACCGAACCCAAGGCATCCTGGCAGATACATTCCACTCTACGCATGCGCACATCCACATCAAGTAGACAGCAGCTTAGAGACGAAACTGCAGACGCTTTTCATTTGCGCGCCAAATGAGGTATATAGGTAAGGGACAATTTAACGATAACAGGCGACTTAGACTGTTGGGCACGTAATTCCACCGATCTTCTATGCCTTTTATTTCCGACCACGCACTGGCATCTGCAGTTCGGCCTCCGTTCGCTGCAGCCAAACGTCAGAGAGCCAGCCGACTGTGAGAAAGCTGGGTGCACAAGTCAGCCAAACCCCCGCGGGGACGGAGCCAGCGCGGCAGCATGCAAAGGGCACCGCAGCCTTGGCGGCTGAACACGTACCTCGGCCAGACAGCCCGATGGCCGCCAGCGAGAGCTTCTCTACCGGTTCGCCAGAGCCTTGGGAGCACAGCGCGGTTAGCATGCGCCGGCGGGGGAGGTGCAGGAGGGCAGGGTTAGTCAAGGCCGGCGAGCGCACAGAGGCTGCCGCACGGCCGTTGCCACAGTCAGCCAACACGCCAGGGGTTTAGCGCCAAGCCATGGCGTACCGCAGCCCACGCCCAATGTTAGGAAACCATCGCGCCGGCCATGCAGGTGTCAGGCGACGCCCGCGACCTTTGGTATGATCCTGAACAGACCAGGAATCAGCACAGCCTCGCTCAGCTAACTGGTGCAAGCGACCGCACCGAGGCACTATCGAGCAATTTAGGTTCCGCCAGATAACACCGTCTGCAGCATTAGCATTGTCGACAGGGAGTCCAGATAGCCGTCGCCCAACGCGTGGCCATCGTTCGCACCCCGGCCGATACGACTATCAGTTTATCATCCGGCCATTTAGATTAAGTCGTGACGCAACGGAAAAAGTGAAGCGCGGCCGCCAGCGTTACGTACGACTGGCGCCCGTGCCAGACATACCGCTGATCTTGCGAGAAGCCGACCAACTGTTGGGCTCTGAAGCCAGCACGCTGCCGCAAAGCAAACTACAGGTACAACTAGTGGCAGTTCACAGAACAATGCATCGCATCAACCAAGAAACCTCTACAAAAACACGCATTAAATCGCACTTCAACTCGGTTACCAATGCTACATTTTTCTACCAGATTGCTACCAAGCGCAACCGACATGAACGCTTCCTCTGCTCGTCCTCTCTGGCGGCAGAGTTACCAGACGCCAGGCAGCTGAGCTGCCAGACGGGGCTGGCACGGCTTCAGCTCTGGCGCGTCCTGTCCGGACACTACCAGCCGCAGGTGACCGCCCGCCGGCCTACCTTTGCTGTACATGATGGGGATGTGGTCGGTGGCCAGGTGCTCCTTGGTCTTGATGGCCACCAACAGGGGAGAGCCCCGCCGAGCTGCCACGCACTGGTTTGGGAAGTGCTTGGACTTGAAGCACAGTGCGAACGCGCCCTCCTGCAGACCAGACACGGGAGAGCCCGGTCAAGGGGGGGGGGGGGAGGGCTCGCATCGACAACCTGAAGATTCAGAAGACTGAAAGGTCCACCTCCCGCGTCAACCCGATCAGTGAAAACGGAAAACTATCAAAATTAATTCTGCAAGAGAAGATAAGGGAGGCAGAGTCCAGTCCACTCTCGTAAACATTGTGAGCTTGGCACGCATTCCAACTCGCCACGTGTCACGCGTCGGGCCCGTGTCTGCAGCAAGCACGGCACTACGATTTCCAGACGAAGCCTGCGGCCACTCGCACCGACCGACCGACCCGCGACCGACCATGACCGGGCGTTTAACCACCGCCGTCTTCCCGGTCTCGTCCAGCAGCGCTGCCTCGAGGCAGTCTCCGTCAGACAACCGGCAACCTGCGCACCCGGTGTGCCGGTGACGCCCCGCGGATATCGCGGTGGCCCCGACCTGATCCCGCAATCTGGTTCCGCAAGCCGTAGACATCAGCCGTCGCCAGCCGTCGCTGCCGCTATCAATGCGGGTTGACGCCGGCGGGGAGGCCACCTGTACCCCCGGCTCCCCGCCCCGCCCCGGCCACACGTACGGCAGCCAGGGCGCCGCCGGCGAGCCCTATCGACGCCGACGTGGCGCGGCGCGGCGCGGCGCGTCCACGGCCGACGGCCGTCGATGTAACCATGGCAGCGGCGCACCCCGGGGCCGGCGAGCCACGCGGCGGGCGGGTTATAGCAGCGATCTGGGCGAGCGTTCACAGGCAGATGGACGTCCGGCCCGGCAGGAGCGGACAAGGGCGAAAGCCGGGCAAACGTGCGGGAAACACAGGAGGGATCGGAGAACCAGATAAAACGAGATAGACGAAGAGGAGACGGAGAAAAAAACGCGCAGGGAGCTTTACGATCACGAGTGGTGAACGGCGTACAAGGGCGGGACAAGAGTTGCTCCTACAAGAGGTGCAAGAGTTGCTCCTTTTTGTCGCATGGACCGTTCCCATACGTTAATGATAACGATCACATGCTCCATAATCCACCTATGAGAAGACGGCATAATGCCGGAGCGAGCTAAAGGGCAGCAGCCGGTCAGCATAATTAAGTACAGAGACAGCATGCAGCCCGGTCACGTGAGGCATTCCGCAACGGCTTAAGATGTCATCCGAGGGAGAGAGAAAGTTGATTCCGCGAGCCGGCCGCTCATGCACCAGAGCATCTTCATCAGAAGTAGCCTCCGCCCGACCCCGGCGCGGAGATCAGCGCGCCAGCCCAGCAACGGCCCGGTCAGAGGCTAGCCGCGTCCGGGTGGCGGCACCGGTCCCGCGGTATGCGCGGGTGCCGCCGGCGCCGGCCCCAACGATCGCAGCCAAACACCGGGACGGACGACCAGCTACCGCCAGACGCCGCGGCCAGCACGCGGGGGGCGTCCACGCCGCGCGACAAACAACCCGGCGCCAGCGCGCCGGCCGGCGTCAGTCGAGGCGACCGGCGCCGGTCCCCTGATGGGAGGACGCCGATACTGATCAGGCCGGCGGCCCCTGGCCATTGGCAGAAGTCAGCCCGGCTCCGTGAGCCCCTCCCCAGGGTCGGCAGGACGGCGCGTGAGGGGGCTCGGCCGCTCACCGTCCCCTGATCGGGGACGATGGCGACACCGGGATCGGCAGATAAGACCTTTCCATTCGGCGGCCTTCGCGCCCGTGCTTTCTCCGAGACAGACGCCCCGTCGCCGCGGCGGGCACGCCCCGGCGCCAGGCGGCGGCCGGGAAGGTCACTGCTGAGGAGGGAGTCCTCTGGAGCCGTCAGTCCTTCGCAGTCCCGGTGCGCGCCACCCCGAGACTGCGCGGACCGAGGGCGGCGGCGCAATGCCGTGGCGCCCGCGGTCCAGCCGGCGCCGCTTGCCCAACGTACTCTCTCTCACATGAACATTGCGGCATGACCAGAGCCGCGACCGGCTCGAGGCCCAAAAAACGTGATGCTCAACCACGCTCTAGAGCAGCCCGCC